ATATATATATATATATATATATATATATATATATATATATATATATATATTTGCTGTACTTAAATTTGTGCGTAATTTTTATGTAATATGTAATATCACAATCTAATTCGCAAAGCTTTTAGTTTTACTTTGCACTTATACCCCTGTGCAGTTAGGCTATTAAATAAACAAAATCTTGACGCACTTTACCGTTGACACTCGCTAGTGCAGGCTAGAAACCTGAGCGGCAAACAACCGTTAGTAATATATGTACATTAAATTAGCTCCTCCTCTCGAAACTACAAACAAAACCGAAAGCAACAAGTGACACACACAGACACACACACACGCCTATATTCACACACAAGCAGACACGTGAAGCCGAAGTTCGGATCACAATCCTCTTGAGAGAGAGCGACGTGAACGTGGACTGAGAAAGAGAAGGAGGGAGAGAGAGAGAGAGCCAGTCTGAGTAGGAGAGTGAGAGTCGGTCTAGCAGCGTTTGGTTTCCAGTTTGAGGCGGAGTAGAAGTATATGTATGTAGGTGAGGCCGGTAACGTTTCGTTTTCGTTCGTTTTGCGAGTTCGTGCTGTGTAATGCATTCGTTGTGGCTATTTTTAGACAGATTCCAAGCCACGTTTTCTAACTGTTTTTAGCGTATGCCTGAGCCTGAATCACAACGGCAGAGCTCGAGACAAACGTGAGATCGTCGGTCAGCAGACTTGGGCGCAGTGGGCTCTTCCTTTCGATTTCGCTAGATTTTTTCCCATAATGCTTTTTCAGCGCTTTGGCATAGGCATTGCCTTTGGTTCAAAACCAACACACCCCACGAACCCCACACTCCACACTCCACATTATAATAGTGTTGCAGTTCAGTTCACCTTAGCATGGTGAGCCTCACATGCACACATACATACATACATACATATATAGGGAGGTACGTACAAGTTGAATTTTTGGGAGCGACGCAAGTGGAACTGGTCTGGTGATGTTTGTGAGTTGTTGTTGTTAGTGTTTTTGTTTTGTTCATTTATTCATGGCTGCTTCTGACTTGTTGGCGCTGCTGCTGACCCGCTCGTGGCCCCAAAAAGTGCATGCATATACCGCCAGCCTAGCGTCGGACAAGCGTTGGAGTCGCTTCCAAGATGTTATATTGTTGTTGGGCTTATTGGCTGTATTAAGCATTGCTTGCCAAGCCAACAACGTGAGGCAACGCTAGGCAACGCTAGGCAACACGAGGCGACGCGCCGCGACGTCGAAGACAAGCCAATAGTTGGCACTCCTTGCTTTTGCTGCTGCCTTAAAGTCTCTTTAGCTTTTGTCTTTTCTGCGATGATATTCTAAATGTGCTGCGCCAAATTTACTTCGTCTGTCGAGCTTGTTGTTGCTGCTGGCCTAATCCATGTATCGTTTTCGCATCGTTGCGCGCAGTTCGTGAGTTTAATTTCAGGAATTTTAGCTCTTTTTGATTGCTGTTTAGTCTTTGATTTTTGTATGTCTTTACCAAATTTCAATTAGCATGCGGCACTTTGCGTTTGCTATTTCAATTGTTTTTTTCTTTGCTGTTGTTGTTGTTGTTAGACTGCACATTTGTGACGGCGCCTTGTGAATCATTTGCATAAATTGCTCGTGGTTGGGCCAACTCTTTGCCTCTCCTCAGCTTTAGTATGTTTTGGTTTACTTTGCCTAGCCCAAAGCCGTTCCGGACCTGCTGACATGCCCATTTTATCGATGACCCACCTATCTATTACCGAGCATAACTATTCCTATAACATCCCATGCAAATTTTCTGAGGTAACTCCGTTGCCTGCAGGTGCTTTTCGTGGCGAATTATTGTCATTATATTCATTCATAGTATTTGTGTATGTATATGTATATATATATATATATATATGTATATATTTATATATGTATATTTGTATATATTTATATATGTATATATGTATATATATAACAGATGTCTGTTTTGTACACTCTGGTGCAAGTATATCTTGAAATTTTCAGGAGTTATCGAATTTACTTTTGGCCAAATAACACTATGTCGCAAAATCATGAGAGTATTTCATCCAGCATACGGTCAGATACGTAAGAAATAAGTGAAATAAAATTTCAATTTGAAATCATTTTTGCTATTCAGCTTTTCAGATACATACATATATTCACAAAAAGAAATGATATTATATGTAAATGGTATTTATATGCTTCAATGACATCGAAGGGTGTAAACATCCTAAGTGACTCAATTATCAAATTGGTCGATTTCTTGATGTGATTCTGTAAATATAGTTTTTAATTGACCACGTCCCTTTAGATAAGAGAGTTAATTTGCGAAGCTATTGCATTTCTGTGTCAAACCAATAGTATGCTCTACTATTGAATTATTGGATTTACTTAATAATATGACATCTTTATTTTCAATATCGCTTTTCAATCCGTGTAGACTGTTAAGGGTATAAAATAAAATTGAAATAAATTCATCACGCACAAGTAGGGTATCTGAACTAAAAGAATTGAGCATATTATATTCTCGGATTACTTATAACGATATCACCATTATAGCAGACACCCATCATTTTTAAACCAAATCTAAAACAGTAAATGATGGATGGACTTTCCTTAGGACTCCTTATTGGTTAAATTGCTATCTATCATCGATCGCAGGCAGACAGGCAGGTCTGTGGGTGAAAGTGTCCAACTATCAACTAGCGCCTTCCGGTGCTTATCAAGTTCCTGTGTTAATTAGCGCCCCATTATTTATAGCGCAATGCTTTGTGGCTGGTTGGCCACACGCGCCGTGACGTCATAACACAGTCTACGAGCAATCGATAAACAAAGACGTCATCAATTTGGGTGGCGACGCGTGGCCGTGACGGGTTACATGGGCATGCGCTGTTAATTGCGCTCGCGCCATGAATGAAAGCTTCAGAGCATGTGGTGAGTGCGTCGGCAGACTCAGGGATAGCGGCAGCGGCAGCGGCAGTGACAGTGGCAGTGGCAGTGGCAGTGGCGGAGGCGGAGACGAAACGCCGGCCGGCAACGGAGGTCGGCGTCGCAGCGTCGGCTATAGTCTCCATTGCGGCTCGCTCTAGCCAGCAGCAAGCGTATGAATCAGTGACGTCACGGCGCGACGCCGGTACTCTACGTACTTTCTACGGCTATCTCTCTCTTTGTGACGTCAGAGTTGGACGCTACTAGACTCTTCGTATGGGCAGCAAATGTGATGCTCTCTCGCTCGCTGTGACGTCAGTGAACTGTCTGTTTTAAGCCTGCTGAGGCTATTATTATTACTATATGATGAATTCATTAGCACAGGTGCAACGAAAAGAATTCGATATCTGCGAACTCAGTATTTTAATTATTATCAACTGCGGTTGCGGTTGCATTTTTTAAACATGCTATGGCGGGTTTTCAGGTCACACAGCACCCTCTGTCAACGATAGCAGTGTCGTCACAAGAAACTTGAACTTGACTGCTCTGTAAATTTGTCCAAATGTGCTGCACTCCTCTGCAGGTCGTTTTGCGGTTAAAAATAGTTGCTAACTTGTATATCTAAAAGTGGTCTTCCAATAAACTTCAAGAAGGCATGAATAAGGGTGCATGTGTAAGGCTTTAAAGAAGTAGTAAAGATTAGAAATGTCAAAAACATATTTACTTTCCCTTGTCTAGATTTCGGCCGAAAGCTTTAAATTCCGAGTGAAGAGTATGAGTGACGGAATATTTCAAGGAGAATGTAAGGTAAGGTAAGAGAGATTGTAAATGTCAGCAGTAATTCAGAGATTGAATTAACTTTAATTTTATTTTTAGCCCTTTTTCCGAGCGCATTAGTTTATCACTATTTTCGTTCTTTTCAATATATCGGATCGTAACCATCTCTTTCAAGTATAATTTAATTATGTACACGTCCATTCTAATACACCAAATCTATTGGGAAATTATTAAAGTCTTAATGTCATTTGAATGCTTAAATCAGCCGCTGTACTAGATCTACGGCTGAAAGGCAAGTTATCTAACAGTCACTAAGGTTCGCATGCGGCAACATCCAAGTAGTCTTCAACTAGCCTCAGCGAAGCTGCTGCTCATGTGAGAACCATCTGTTTATGGTGATTTTCGCACCCATGGCGCTCGGACTTATGCTGCGCAAGTCTAGAGACTTGACCTCGACCTGTCCCGTCCTCTCATGCTCTGTTAGAGTCTCTCGTTATATTATTTATGTATATTCCGCAAGAAACAGTGCTGAGCTTGATTGCTCACAATAAAGTCGATACTAAAGCTATAAAATGAACTGAGCATATATTCAATGAGCCATACATTCAATTGGTCATGAACGTTAGAAGCTCTTTACTAAGCGCTTCAGTCGGTTGATGTAGATAAATAGTTCGAGAACGATACATTTCATTGAGTCGTTCGGCTATTCTTTGAACAGTTCTTGAAATGCGCACGACTGAACCAATTTAATTTCAATATCACGTAGGTGAACGACTAAGCTGTTCAGAAACTTGTACTAGGCCTCATATCTCTAATATGCAGTCCCTGGCATGGACAGCGAACCATGCGGCTTCTATAGCTTGTCACGGCTACATCTTTATATTCTCAGCGGTATAGATTTGTATCTACCGATAACTGTGTTTAGATTCGCCGACACAGACAGAAGCTAAGCCATGCATCTTGGTCAACAACTGGAGGTAACTTCAGCATGCGATTGTTAGGTCAACGGGTTTGTCAAACGGCAAACAGACATACATGGCTTGGATCCTTCGATTCGCTTGAAATCAGTTTTGGTTTGAGTCGGCCTGCACCATGACAAGCCTAAATGCCTCAGTATAATGGCAACTGGCAACAAAGATGATCATGGTAATAATTCTGAAGCCAAAGCTAACAGTTGAAACTTTAATTGAAGGTGAGAGGGGTTTTTGATTCGCGTTCAGCTATCTACATAACCGTATTGAGTAAACTAAGTTAGGGTTGAAACTTTTCTGAACTGTCCCCATGAAACCTGTTGATCGTGGTCATAGCATTGAAATGCATGCATGTGCACACGTCTCTAGTATTTGAAATACGCCTTTTACAAATTTATGGGTGAGGGAGTGGATTTAGAGGTGGGGAGTAAATTCTAACAATCGAAATTATAAAAAATACATATAAGTCTGCATTTTAAATTTGGCGACTCTAGTTCTCACGATGTATTAGATATCAATTTATTACTGATCTTCGATAAGGCTTTTAATCGATAAAAAATAACGGGATGACATGCGAACTGATGAACAGACAGACGGACAAGGCCAAATCAACTCAGCTCGTGGTCCTGATCAAGAATGTATACAATATACTTTATGGGGTCTGCCACGCCTCCTTCTGCCTTTACATACATTTCAATAAAACCATTATACCTCGGTGTACCATTTTCAATGGGTTCAGGGTATAAAAAACTAATGCAAAATCATTAGGTCTTTATAGATTGGGTCCCAAATGTTGAAACTATATTATGATTAGAAGTCATTATTACAATCAACTAAATTATATTTAACACCTAATGGTCTTTAATCAATCTGAAAAGCTTGAAAGTTCTTAGATTATTTGTTTTGAATGTTTCTGAACAACATACGATATTTATATTTTATGTCCCTACTGAAAAAACTGTTTAGATATTTATTTTTTTCATATATCGCATTGTAATTTGCACCCCATACAGACTCGATATATTCGTGCATCCGCAGAAAATGTCAAGCGACTCAACTAGCAGAAATATGTAATTAGTCAATGCTCAGAGCAGAAGATCGAGAAGCTGCCATCACAGTATGCACCTGAACATGTCAAGGCGCTTTATTCCGTTAAGTTCATATGTATATGTATGTGTGTACCCATAGCCAGCAGGCCAATGCGGTACGATGCGATGTCAATGGTTTAGTTGTACTACAAGTAAGTCAGAACGATCAGGTTTGTCTATTTAAGGAGACCGAGTCGAGGTTAGCTGCAGACATTGCAGACAATGTGAATGTTGTCATGCACGAGTAGCACGCAACAACTGCCTCGGGATTGAGACGCGCGGATGACTAAGGCTAGCAACTGACCAGAAGCAAAAAGCTTATAAAACTAACTGAGCTTCCTGCTGCTAACACAGACATCATTCCTATCGGCACGGCAAAGTTCAAGCAACAATTGAATGGGAAATTTATTGCAGCTAATAGTCGATTCGGAACGAATTATTTGAGGTATACAAACATATGTCTATCTGTATCTAAAATGCATTCACGCTGAATTATTAAATGGCCAGGCCGTAATGGTAGACGCTCGCAATCATTTGATACCGATCAGAGTGAACTTGCTCATTAATACAAAATAGTACTTCCTTATGAATGTTCCTCAGCGCACGCCTCTTTATTGTTCAGTTTACTAGAATGTCACATTTGTAAAATTAAGTTTCACCATGTTTTGCGGGTTTAAGTAGTCGGGATGCTGTGCGGAGAGCAGATAGCATGAAAGCCTATTATGGCAACATCCATATTAATCTAAAACACATACCATGAGAACAGTACTTGAAATCCTAGTACCTTCTACATTAAGGACCAAAGTTCGATGTGTTGCCTTGCCACAGCAATAGACGGCATTCAATACGAACTGGTCGGTGATCTCGTCGCAGTTCTTGATATCAATGCGATCTAGCTGGAGGCATTTGCGAATCAAGCGCATCAGGCCAACATCAGTGACACGGCCACAGAAGGACAGTCCAAGCCGCTTCAGCAGTGGTAGCTCATTGAAGAACTTGAAGTGATCGTCCTCCAAGACATCATTTTCGCACCAATACAGCTCCCTCAAACTGCTCAGCTGACCCAGGAAGCGGGCATGCTCATTGCTAATTTCAAACTGCCCCGTCAGCTTGAAGTACGACAGCTTGTTGCCCTTCTTCTCGGCTAGAGTGGAGAGAAATCCCAGATTCAGCTCATTAGACGTCATCCAGGTTTTGAGCGTGCACCGCTGCAAATTGGGAAGTTGGGCAATAATCTCAAAGTTGGCATCGCAGCCGGAAAACGATAGTTCCTCCAGCTCTTCACAGCATTCGGCTACCTTTTGGTAGAGTGACTGGTTCATGACCTCAAAGCAGCAATCATCTAAGACGAGTGTGCGCAGCTTTCTCAGCGGAATGCCAAACTCGCCTGAGTTCCAGAGAAGGCAGTCCCGGAGCACAAGCCTCTGGAGCTTGTCAAAGCCGCACAGGTGTTTGCCTAACAGCTATAGATGGTCGAGCAATTCATATCAGCTGGTAATCGGTGGGATTTGGCTTACCCGTATAACAGCCATTAATCAACTCAAACGACTCCAGGTCGCTGTTGCCATCCAAATCCAAACTGAGAACATCCTCCGCATCCATGCAGTCGATGCTGACACGCCGCAGATGCGTCAATCGGGACATAATCGTCCGATAGCGAAACTCGTCTGTCACATTGGTGTAGTAGATTTCTTCAATGTTCTTGCAATACTCCGAAATAAACTCGACGAGTAGCGATTCCTTTTGGAAGGACGCACAGTTAACCATAAGCACGCGCACAAAGGGACCGGCTACCTTGAATAAATTTATGATATCGGGTAACGCCATTTGCTCCACATCCTCCGCATCCAATGTGTGCTTCTGGGTTCGAGCCCAACTCTCAAAGGCCTGTCGGAACTTTGGAGCCACACACGCCAGTCGAACTTTGTCAGACAGCCGGGGTAAGTGGGCAAACAGGTGGCGGATAATTTCTTCATGCAGGCACAGAATGTGGCACTTAGATGAGCCCTTGTCTTGGGGTTGCGCTTGCAATCCAGCAAATGCAGACATTTTTTAGTGTCGTCGGCTTGATTGACCCTTTACACATAAAATTTTCATTGCCACGTTCTTGACAACTCTCGGCAAATGTAAACAAATACATATCGGAACATTTTTTATGTACAAGTATAACCTTATGAACACATATTAGTTCTCAAAGCTTCCTATGGCAGTCATCACACGATAACGACTAACAGCTGAAGGCAATTTCCATTCCTCACCTGAATCATATAATTAACAGATTTCCATTTAATTTCGTTTAAACCTATGCGCAGGCAGAACGGGTATACTATTCGGAATGGAAGCATTGTGTAAATGCAAGTAATAGAGCAGAGAAAATACACGTCAATGCGAATAATGCGCGGATAAAGTGCAGGGTATTTAAGTCTTATTTGTGTTTTTTTTTTTTTTTAGTTTGGCAGCAATTAAATGCATACTTGGCTGCATAAATGCATAAATAAAAGCAACTTGAAACAACAATACGAGTATGGGTTTACAGTTATTATATGACACATGTTATATTGATATACTGGAAAACATATCTATACACATACATACATATATTTTTGATTATGTGTAGATGTATGTTTTTTCCGGGTAAGTCTTGTCTATGGTTCTTTAAATTAAGTATTATTAACCTCGACGAGGCCGATTTATTATTGTTTCGAAAGGTAAACAATAGAAAGCTCACTTGTATTACCTCTGAATGCGTAAAAAAATTTATATACTGCCAAGATTTACTTACTACTTACTACTTTCTTGAGTTTGATTCACAATTTGGAAATATTTCAATACCAAAAAAAGTAAATAAGCTCTAGTCGAGACTGCTGGACTACGAGATCCCCTGAACCCTTCAAGTAACTGATATTTCAATAATAATTCGGACATTATGCTTGGGTTGCGCTACAATGTTGGCAATATTATGAAATTTATTTGAATAATTTAATTTCTGTATGTACAATCTTAATGAAACTTTCAGAACATAAACATAATATTTAAATGTATGTACATTCCAAAGCACAAGTCTCTAGTATTTGAATATAGGGGTGGGGAGGTAAGTTTTAACCAAACTCGAAATTGAATAAAATGCATAATAATATATATTTTATATTTGGAGCCTCTAGCTTTAAAAATGTAGGAGATATAATTTTATAACTGATTTTCGATAAGGTTTTTTATCGATAAAAAAAACCGGTATGAGTTTTCGAATTTTAGTGATAAACTTGATATCTACGCTATATATATGTACGTACATTTTAAAAATAAGTTTTCTGGCTCCTATATCTTCTACGATCGACGCGTTCAAGCATATGGACCGACGGACAGGCGGACGGACGGACAGACAGACAGACAGACAGACCAGTTCGACTCAGCTCGTCGCCCTGATCAAGAATATATATACTTTGAGGGGTCTGCCACGCCTCCTTCTGCCTGTTACATACATTTCAACAAACCCATTTTGATTTCCTATTTTTAATGGGTTAAATGATTAAATGATTATGATACTTACGGTTCTTTTCTGTTCCCCAATTCATATAACGCTTAAAACGTTAGACACGATCAAGACATATACATCATTTAATGCTAGCATTCTAAAAGTACTAAATTAGTGGTACTAGTTTAATCTGCTTAACGGATAGATTCACGCAATACATCGAAATTATTATTCAACAAGTAAGAAAGCTTTAGTCGAGACGGAACGGAATACTCATTCACACCCCATCAGCAATTTAGGCCACTTCATAGAACAATCTAATGGTAACCTAGTTGCAAGAATTGGATGCTTACGCTCCGAAAATGAAAGAATTACAGGGTATTTTTTGCATTGCCACGCTCCTAAAGAGGCGTTACTATATTATTTGAGGAATCGATATAGGAGGTTAGTAGTAACTTAACTATCCAAATTTTTTTCTTTGCTTCTCTTATAGTTTAGGAGATATAACCCACGCCCCCTGCGAGCGGACATATATCCAACAAAGCTTTTACGTCTTGGGAGGTCAGCCCGAGTATATATATTTTAAATTTGCATCAACAGTGTCCAAAAAATAGCGGAATTTGAAAAATCTCTATATATTTGACACGCCCTTAAAAGGCCTAGACATATGATTTTTTCATCAATCTTTAAAGAATCATTACATTAGCTCACGTGCAACGCTCTAGCTTTAAAACTGTGGGAGACACAGTTTTAGGCGATTTGCCACGCCCACAATGGGCGTAGATATATCCACCATGGCTCCTCAACTAATATGATTTATGGTACATAGGAAAATGCACTTTCCGATTTGCCACGCCCCTAAAATTTTAACACTTTATAAATCGAAGATATACGAGTATTTGTAGCTTCAATAGCACCGAAAAAAGTGCGTTCATACGGACAGACGGACGGACAGCAAGACGGACATTGCACAAAACCAATATACTCATTTTACTTTCGTGAATGAGTATAATAAAGCTCATGAAAAATTTCAGATTTTTGTTTTTCAATTAATTGTTTGTCCGATTGACGGAATTCAAAGTTAATGGTGTGTATATTTTCTTAAAATTTAAGTTTGTTTCATTTTATATATTGTGTTTGTGAAATGTGTATTTCAGTCAAATTTATTATTATATGTTGTTTGTTCTCCATGGTACCTTACCTAAGGTTTCGTTTGTGTTCCCCCGATATTCCTCCAATGGGACTTTTGTCATAGTGTTCGTCAATATGCCTATATATTAGAAGTACTTAAATTGGCTGAAAATTGATTGCAAACTTTGAAATGATAGGAACAAAACTAGCATCATCTCTCTTTTTTTCAAGGTTATGTTGTAGTGCTTGCTGTTCTTTGTTTTTATTTTCATTTGTTTTCGTTGGTTTGGCATGTTTTGTTTTAGACATTAAATTTCTATTTTAATTTTGTTTTACTAGGCTGTTCGTATCATCGCGAGATTTTGCTCGCAACAGGGAACTCATGCTGAAAAAGCGAAAGAGGTTTTTAATTTTGTGCAAAATAACATTGAGGGATTGGATTTACTGCAGATCCAGTTTAGCTTAAAACTTGTTGCCAAAAAATATTGCTGACTATTGTCTGAAATGCAAGCGCAAGAAAGGTCGTTTTCAAATTTGTAATTGATTTATTAGAAGATTAATGCTATATATTTAGTCGTATTTAATTTCTTTTTAGAAAACAGTTTATTTAAAAAAATTTTTTTTCAATATTTTTAATTAATTTTTTAAAATAAAAGAACATTAACTTCCAATCCAAACTAATTATGCCCATCGCCTCCATAAAGTGAAATAGAGTAGGAGGTGTAACTTTGGCAAGGGGTTGAACATGTGCGGTTTTTTTGCTTTTCTTAATTATTATATTTTTCTTGGATTTCGAAAAAAGTTTTAGATTCTTATCTCCACTAGAACTATTTTGGACAGCTATGCAGTGTGGACTTACTATGGGAATTGAATTGCTTAATAACTTTTCTTGTCGATGGACTATCTACTTGAAACTTGTAACTTGTACGCCAAAGCACAAGTATCAAGTATTTGAAATACGCCTTTTATAAAGGTGTTGGAGAGGGGTTTGATATATTGAAACAAAAATCGAAATAAAATAAAAGTACATATAAGTCTACTTTTATTTAAGACTGTATTTAAGGTTTAGGAGATATAATTAAATGACTCGATTTTTGAAGAAAAACTCGATATGCGCGTGATATACAATGACCTAAGAATAAAAATTTAAGTCTCTAGCTCGTATATCTTTTGAGATCGACGCATGCAAACATACGGACATACGGACGGACAGACAGATGGACAGACAGACGGACAGGGCCAAATCGACTCAGCTCGTCGATATATCTACCTTGTGGGGTCTACCACTCCTCTTTCTGCCTGTTTCATACTTTTAACAAAACCATTATACATTGATTCCCCGTTATACGTCTTATTTTTTTTTTTAATAATAAAAAAAACTTATACTGAACTGATGATACTTCAAGGACTAAAAAAATTTGAGGACAACTTCAAATGACAATATTAGATCCTATTTTTATGAGTATATGTATCTGCTTTTGGAATTTTTTTTAATTGTTGCTTACAATAAGTCAATAAGTCATCATTGGAGACTATATTTGTATGTAAAATAGACGTTTCGATATATTTAAATATGCATTCATATGCTTTCTGAAGCACTCATATCCAATGTGTAAGCTGCATGGTCCCGTCGTGAGTGCGTTGAGTATCCATTACACTCATCTGGCGGACCAATCGCTTCATCGAAGACCGATGCTGCCTTCCAGTACTGCCACTGTTCGAATTGCTAGTATCGAGTGGTGTGCGCTCATTAATTCGAGGCAGCTGACGTTGGCGACGATTATCCTTTAACTCTAGTTCGACATCGGAAGCATTGGTTGAAGGGCCCCCAAGTACATCCAGGTTTTCATAGGAAGCTGGTGGTGAGTGGATATCACTTTAATGATAATAAAATTGATTACGCAAAATTTAACAATTTTCAAATTAAGAATTAGATTTACCGTTGTGGTTTACATCGGAAGCAATCCTTGAGTTGCCAACCCTTGCCAAACTCTTCACCCTCTTCAATGGTCTGGGGCAAACGATGATGCAAGGTCTCCGGCAACCGCAATCCGGTCAAGCCCCCCAGCATCGAAACAAATCCCATTATTACCAATGGAAGCTTTAAATTTTCTTTACCCAGGTACGTAACGAAGGGTATCACGATAAGTCCCAAGCCTCCTATGTAGCTGGATGCTCCAATGCCTATGCCGCGAACCTGCGTAGGATATAACTCGCCGGCAAATGGGTAAATGATCAAGAATGATGCCGAAAGTAGAGCTTTTGATATGAGATATAATATTAAAGTCTCATCTATGGCATTGTCAGGTAGCATCACAGTTATAACACATGCCACTCCACTATATTGAAGACAAGATGATATATTATTAAATAATAGTTATTCAAATAGAACTAAATACTAAATATATATATATATATATATATATATATATAAGAGAGAGTTGTGTAAAAGTGTTCCTACACTTATAACTTGAGATCTGCTGGACCAATTTTCATGGTT